AGAACACAGCGAGGGCAAACCTTTCCAGACATTTCATAAGGAAGAACAGAGGTTGACACCAATCCTGAATGGATAGAGGTCACTGCTCCTAAACATATACCGCCAATGCTCTGTTCTCCCAAGCCCTTTCTGCACTTGTGCTACACTATAGTCAAACTTTCTGTACAACTCAGTTTTGCACTGCACTTTCCGTGCTCAATTAAAATTGGGGAACCATGTTTGCAGGTATTCAGCTGCCTTTGCAAGCCAATGTTCTGAACTGTACCAGTTTCAAAACAAAATGACATGTTCTCGTCTCCAAAACAACAGAGCTCCTGGCAGGTTAACTACAGCTATAGATCACAAGTTACAAGGCTTCTGTGAAGTTGGGGAGGCCTTACCTATGCGGCATGTGTATGTGTGTTTTAAGGCAACTGACCAGTTTGGCAACAAAGGCAATGTTATGCCTGAGGATTTGGGTTGATTTCTCTGCTCTGCTAATGAGTGTCCTGTGAGGCCCTGGGCAAGTCACCCATCCCATTGGATGCCAGCTTGTCCATTTATAAAACAGCATGTAGCTAAGGGGATGAGAAGTACCATCACAACCAGACTGGTGTCTATACAGATAAGAACTGTGTGGACCAGCCCTGAAACCAGAAGGCAAAGAGAGACATGCAGTGTCCTCTCCTCCATTCACTGGGCTCTGCCCCAGCTCCTGGTTGGGAAGCATTCAGGTCATCCTTACCTTGGGGTTGTGCAATATAATGATTTCTCTGTTCGGGGACTCAAGTTTCTTTTTCCACTCATCCAGAGTTACAGCGATCATGTAAGCTTCCTGCGGAGAAGAGCATCCCTGGTGAGGCAGGCAGACATGTTTCCATGGGAACTCTGCCACTGGAGAGGCTTGTCTCATCTCCTGTGGCCCCTCATTCTAGGCTAGCTCTGGACAGGGCTCTATGGTATCAGGTCTCTGCTTCAGCAGTCGACAGCCTGAGATCCTGACCCTTCCCATTTCCACCTGACTAACTTTATTCACATGTCCTTGGCTTCTGCAGGACATTTTGCCTTGCCTAGTTGACTGGCGAGTGGGAGTGTTTGCAAAACCAGGTCCTACATTAGATCAACACAGGAAGTTACAGCAGTCAAGAACAGGGGAAAGCAAACATGTCTGCAGCTTGACAGACCCAGCTACATCGGAGACACTGGCAGAAGGGGAGAGATGCAGGGTTTACAGCAGTGCTGGCAAGATGGGCAAAGGTAACCCAAACATCTTATTAAGCCCACATCCTGAAGCAGGATCATGGTGCAGGGAGCTTGGACTGTTACGGAGTTGCCATTACTTCTGTAAAAGCCCAGAAGGCTCGAGAGTAGCCTGAATGGACTGGAAGTTATCAGATAAGGCAACTTTACCTCCAACTCCTCGCTGAAGCTCTCCAAGTAAGGGACATACTTATTGTCCTTTTCTCCCTTATAAAACCAGGTGCAGCGCCTTACTTCAGACACCTCTTCCTCCCAGTACACGGCATAGCATTGCCTCTGCTTCAAATGCACATCGTATCTGCCCCCTGATATCGGAACTACCAGCTCTTCATCGTCTTTCCCTGCAAAGGACAAGGGCTGAGATGAATCACAAACAGACCAGAGTGGCTTGTTATCAAGGTTTGGACTACGGCAGCTATAGGGAGGCAGGTTTCAGTAGCTTATGCATGGTGTTTACCTAGGAACTGTGTATATCTTGATAGCAAAGCCTAGTCAGCATCAAAAATATCAGATAGCTTTGATTTTCAAAAAGAACTTCCTTACTGGAATAAAGAGAGGAGATCAGATAAAGCCACATTCATTCAAAGCAGAGAAGTGACCTAATTCTGCTACAGACTGGTCTGACCCCATTATTTAGATTGCAGGCACAGCATGCTGTGTTCAACTGCACACATCACCCATACATGACAGCCAGCATTCCCTCTAAGCTGTGTGGTGTGCATGGCCGCGTGCGCCACGCAGCTTAGAGGGAACGCTGATAGCAGCCCAAACCAGACACTAGGAACTAACCTCATCCACTGACATCCAGAACCTTGGCGCACTGGTGACAGGATGAGAGGGGCCAGGCACTTCAAAGCTTTACTCTGATGGTTGTCCTTTGTGGCCCTGCATGTCTGAAGTCTGAGAGCAGGACTAGAAAAGGGCAAGTGAGTGTATTTACATGCAGGGACACCACAAGGCTCAGGGTGAGCACTATCATTATGCAAGAGATGCTACACATATGAATAAAACTATCCATTAAAGAATCTAAGCTGCTGAATGGAGAACCCTGCCCTCTTCCTGAGGATAAATCCACAGCAAAACAAGAGATTTAAAGGGCCAGCCTTCCCAGTGGTGGAATTTAGCCAATGCTGCTTCCCACATAACTCCCTCTCACCTAATTAATACTCTCTTGTACATGAGAAGAGTGCACATTAAGTTAATGAGACCTGAACATAGGCTGTATCCAAAGGGACTATTTGTTTGTGTATTTAAAGTAATATCAACAGGCCCCTTTAAGGAAGGAATGCTTCCAAAAGAATATTTCATAGATTTCATAGACATTAGGGCTGGAAGGGACCTCCAAAGATCATCGAGTCCAGCCCCCTGCCCAAAGGGCAGGAAGTCAGCTGGGGTCATAGGATCCCAGCAAGATATATAATAATATAATCTGGTCCAATTTAAAATGCCAGAGGGAAGAGCAGAAACTGCAGGATGTTCAGAATATTTCTCCGAGTTATGGCTTCTAGCTCCAAGGTATCATTAGGAAGTACAATGCGGGTCAAATTTTTAGCAAATTCAGCACTTGTGCAGAGCCTATAATGAATTATCTCATTACCTGTTTATGCCAAAACCCCAAAGGGTTCTGAGGTTAGATATTACTATATTTAAAAACAGTGTTACTTAAAATACAGCTTCATAGATTTTGAAGCTGAACAAACCTATGAGATCATCCTGCTCAGCGCACTATGGTTTGACACAGGATTTGCTAGTGTTTTTACCTGCTCCTGCCTGGAGGCATGGGGACCCTGAGTGGTTTCAAAAACCAGCCCAGGACCTGCTACACCTCTCTGCTAAGAAGCTTCTCACAAGAAGCATGTTCAACTTACTCATCTTTTGGGCCGCTTCCAACTTCTCCGAGTCCTGTGTGCTGAAGGGGATCCATCTCTCTCGGGAATCTGTGACCTTGCAGTAAAACCAGTGAGGAACCACGGCTTCGTACTTATTTGCAGCATCTGCCTCTATCACCTCAAAGGAGCTGGACGAATTGGATGACAAGGAAGCATCTGCTGGTTGCTGTTCCACGGCTGACATCACGCTGCCTGAATGAAGGAAGGGAGAAAGGGAACATGCTGAATTTTTATTTTATAAGAGCCTCTGAGTTGTTTACCAAGACTCAGAGCAGAAACACAGAGACACATACAGGTGCACTCATACAGTCCTGCCAAGACCGGCACTGTTTTTAAGCAAATAAAGCGGATTGACTGATAAATAGCTACAAATGAGAGAAGGCCAGCTGCATAGATAGTTTACTAGTTGCGAGCTTAGTGTTATCCTAATCCAAGATGCATTCAGCAGGCATCTGTGACAGGCCCAGAACAAAAAAGACTGATACCAATTGGCTCCGCTCACTCAAGCACAAAAAGTCCAAAAGGCAAGGGATCCACGCAGCTTGGCTGTAAAACTGCCACAGAAACATGAAGAGAGCCTGTGAGAAGATGGCAAAAGCCATCAACAGTGGTAAGAAACAAAGGACAACCCAGGAACAATGTTCTTTTTTGGACACCAAGCAAAGATACTTCACTGAGCTGGGAGAAACGTTTTAGGAGTCACGGCGACAGTTCCGTTATGTTGGTCCCTTATCAGCATTTCGGTGTTCTTGCTGCTTGCATCTTCAACTTTGTAAGCATGCCGAGCTTTTCTCTGAGAAACATTTCATGACGTGCTAACCAGCACCACTGAATATCTGCTACAGCACACTTGAATATCCCTCATTCCTCCTAGTTTTACTCTATTTGCTTTTCCCATGTGCAGAACCACGTCTTATTATTACTCAAAAAGCACGACTGCCAGAGCAGCACTTTTAGTGGAAAGAAGGTAGTCTGCAATCTTCTGAACATGGGAGCACAGAAGGGTATTAAGAAAAATGGCAGACAGCCTAGGAACAGTTCTCCCTGACTTTTGCCACCAAGCCAGTAACATTTTGCAAGCAAAATTAGACTTTGATCTAGCTGTCAGCTCCAGACTGAATTCAATAATCATGGCCAGGAGTAACACCACAGAACAGACACCTTGCCCCAGAACAATGCCGCCTTTACTTTCAAAGGGTATTTCCTGTATCTGTCCATTGTTCCTTCCAGCTGAGTCACAAAGCCCTTTCCAATGAAGGATCCTGTCCTTGCAGTGTCCCAAACACCTAGGTAAGCTTATCCGCTTTACTGATGTGAAACTAGGCACAAAGGTCAAGTGAGTTGTCCAAGGCTGCGCTGTGAGTCAGTGGTAGCCTTGGAGAGGGACTCCGTGTCTCCCAGCCGTGTACATCAGCCGCAAAGCCGTCGCGCTGAAAGCAAATTCCCCTTCTAATCCGACCCCTTTTCAAACTGGGGTCCGACGGTCTTGCAGCTGGGCCCTGTCCTGGACAAGCTTCAGTGTTGGCCTTAGCGCTGCAGACGATTGGGGGTGGAAAAATGAAGCAGCTGTTTGCCCAAAACACTACAGAGGGAAGCAGATTGTTCTTGCAAAGGCCCGTACTGCTCCGGGTACAGCATCAGTGGGCAGCGGAAAGGTTGCAGCCCGGCCCCCCCCCACCGAGCCTGCGCGGAGCTGCAAAGCGGCTCCGTCCCTCTCCCCCGGCCCC